GTGTAAATTCAAAACATTGGTCTAGTTTTGTCGAAGGCTTTCATGGCCAGAATCACTGGGTTGCTGTGAGTTTTCCGGGCGGTCTGGCCATGTTCCAGAAGCATTCTCACCTGACTTTCGTCTGCATCTGTGCCATGCATCCTCAGAGGTTGTGAGGTCTGTTGGAAACCAGGAAAAAGGGGTTTATGTATCTGTGGAAAGTCCAGGGTGGGAGAAAGAACTCTTGTCCGTTTGAGGTAGGTGTGAATGTTTCAATTGGCCACCTCGATCAGCATTTAATGGTCTAGCAGTTTCAAGGTGTGGCTTCTTTCTGTCTGGGGAAATCCTTTGTAGGGAGGTGATTAGCTGGCCCTGATTGTTTCTTGTTTGGAATTCCCCTGTTTTTGTGTTGTTCTTTATTTACTATTATGATTTGAGAGGTTTTTTTAATACTGGTAGCCAGTTTTTGTTCATTTTCATGGTTTCTTCCTTTCTGTTGAAATTGTCCACACATTTGTGGATTTCAAGGGCTTCTTTGTGTAGCCTGACATGGTGGTTGTGAGAGTGGTCCAGCATTTCTGTGTTCTCAAATAATATGCTGTGTCCAGGTTGGTTCATCAGGTACTCTTCTATAGCTGACTTCTCTTGACCTAGTTTGACCAAAAAAAAGACTTACTTACTTACTTACTTAGCTGATCCCTCATAGCTCGAGGATGATGGTATTCCAGATGTAGTGTTTGGCAGTGTTCAGGGCATTCACTGTCAGTGTTGTCCAACAGTGTCTGTGCATTCCATGTTCCGAAGTTCATTTTTCTTTTTTGGCTGCAGGGTGGTGAACCCTCTGGACACGGCAGTCCAGTCAGGGATAAGAGAGGCAGACTATGTTTAGGGCACCTTTCCTAGCGCCTTCCCCGTGTGGGGTGAGCAGAGTGGATCCTAAAGGAGGTCAGCTGTGACCAGCAGTGCTGCAGAATTTGAAGAGGCACAAATGGAGGGCAAAAGAGAGAAACGTGCCAAGAGGAAGGCGCATCAAGCCAACCCCAACAGGGACTGCCTTCCACCTGGGAACCAAGGCCCTCACTCCTGGATACGATGCAGATCAAGAATAGGGCTCCATAGTCACCTATGGACCCACCCTGGAGGATTATCCTACTCGGACAACGAGGGATCGCCTAAGTAAGTAAAAGTCTTCCAGATTTCACAGTCTGGCCCCTGTTGTCACTCGCTGATTGCCATGTGAGTTTTGTTAGTTTCTTTTTATTTTTCTTGGAAGACGCTTGTGAGTGAGTTTTTTTAATGTATGGAGGTCAGAGCACAGCTGATCAACACACAGTCTTCACAGAGTGAGGTCCCATCTAGTGGCATGGTTAACACTATGACCGTGGCTTCTCAATCTGTTGCAGCCTTCTTCCGCCTTCATAGCCATTGTAACATGTACCACGTTATCCTCCACCAATTCTGCCGTTGAAGTCTTTGGGTCTTTGGATTAAGCTCCCCTGCGGCCACTCCTGGAAGTGCACAACTCCAGCAGTTGCACCTGCAGGTTCATTGGAACACGCAAGCCCCCTCACCACGACAAGGTCAGAAGAGAACAATCTTTTTGTCTGTAAATAAGATACAGATTAATAAACTGTTAAGATTTATAAAAGCACATCGCTTTCTCACTTTTGAAGCATCAAAAACAAGTAGGCACAGTGTCACAGTGATGTGAAACAAAAAATGCAAAAGGAATGCATAACAAAGCTCTATTGTAAGCCACGTCCACTTTGAAGAAGCCCTCTTCTTTGTTTGCATGTAAATACTGGATATGAATATTGGCAAAAGTTTTTTCTCCAACAGAGCAAACAAAAAACAGCCTTCAAAGCTCCACTGAAGGCAGAATCCAGTGGCAGCTGACAGATACAGAGCCTCCCTCTGATGTTTTAATGAGCGAAGAGGGAAAGTAGGAGGCCAGGATTCGCAAAGAAGCCCCACTCTTCATCCTGTTCAGCTGTGAGGCTACAGTTTTGCAGAAGGCTAAGCATCTCGATTTGCTGAAGCAGCTGAACTGCAAAAATCCTAAACAGTCTTGATAAAAGGGAAAAAGTTGAGAGGAGAGGGAATCTGTGTTATCCCTTTGAAGCAGTTCATTACATTCTGAAAAGGGAAGTACAAACTTGGCTTCCTGCTGTACTTTGCAGGTGGTCGTTTTTTTAGTATTTAAGACATGCTGCAAAGAAGAAATGTTACATACTATTGTTTATTTACAGTATTTTTATTCCGCCTTTCTCAACTCAAAGGGGACTCAGGGAGGATCACAGAATGCATATGAGGGTTGAATGAAAAATAATGCCTCCACCTTTGTAACTCAACAGATGGCAGAACTGGTATGCAGCAGGTACTGGCTTGTTCAGTAGACTCTCCTCTATAGTTCCATTTTGGCGGGAAGCCTTAGCATTGAACAGTTGTGTTGTTAAAGTGTGAAGCATGGAACCCTGCGCAGACAGTTGGTCAATGCGACTTAAGCATCGTGCAGTCATTGAATTGTCGACAGCAGAAGGTGTCACCCCAAAAGAGATTCATCAGAGAATGCCAGCTGTTTATGGTGATTGTGTTGATGTGAGTACTGTGTGTCGCTGGGCGAGTAAGTTTAAAGATGTTGAGGTGGGAACATCTGACTTGTATGACAAACAAAGAGTTGGACGTCCTGTGACAGCCACCACCAAGTTTCACAAGCAAAAGGTTGACAGATTGATTCAGGACGATCGTCATATCATTCAGAGAGAAATTTCAAGCATAATCGGCATTTCACAAGAACGTGTGTGTCACATTATTGCTTTGCTTGGCTATCGGAAGATCTGTGCACAATGGGTTGCGGAAACAGAGTGTTGACTTCTTCTGTAACGGCTTCAGAAAACTTGTTCATTATTGGCAGAAATGTATCCAATTGTCTGGTGATTATGTGGAAAAGTGAATAGTGGTAGTTAAAGAGTACATTCTAAGGCACATTTCTGCGTTTGATTTATTAAAATATTCCCATCCAAACCCAAGTAACCAAGGTGGAAGCATTACTTTTCATTCAACCATCGCAACCATATGCAACCATATTTCATTCAACCATATGCAAACATATATGCATATGTTTGCTTCCTACTACAGCAATAACAGTAGCAGTTGCAGTAACAACTGACAGTAGTTATTGTTACTAAGAATTATTTGGAAAGAGATTGAAAGCATAGTGTCAAGTATAATGACATAGATACAGACATTTATGAGTATGTATAGCAAGTTTCAGTTGCACTCTCTAAAAAGATACTCTAAGGCTTGAAGGGGGGAGGGAAGAAATTAAAATTACCAGGAGATTGAAAGTAATATTTGTAAACAGAAGCATTATGAAACTACACTTTTTTAAAGAAGGAAGAGGACAGCAGGCATGACAAAGTCTATGATGTCAAAGGTGCGGAAGCAAAAAATAGTTAAAATGGATAAGAAATGAAATATTCACAGAATCAGCTCCTAATTGAGTCATATCTGGAGACTTTTTGGCCCAAACCTAATTATTATTATTATCAATTGGAGTAGACCCTCTGAATCAATTGTAGAATGGTATGTCCCAATATAAATCCAGTCGATTCGATGGGTCCACTTTAGAAGGATCCAGCAACTGATTGCAGATCACAGATGTCAGCCCCGAAGTCGGGAAGGGCCCTTTTAAGTCCCAGTAATTTTAACTGGTCTATTAGAAGTATGATTAAATCGGAAACCAACTCTTGTGTAAACATTCTTTTGTCAGTCATTTAATTTATATTCAATTGATGTACTCTATTGACCAGTGAACCTGAAATCAACCTGCATGTTACTAAGCAATTCCATGTTATTTTTAAATGAAATTTTTATGACTTATAGGTCTATTAATGGGTAATAGTCAAGAGAGCGAAAAACCAAGCTTTCCTATTCAGAGGCAGTGCACTAGGGTGTGCAAGAGCCACACATTGGGGGACCACAATGGTCCTCTGTGGGGATTTAGAGGGCTTCATTCCTTGCCTACTCCAACACCCAATAATGTAGTTATTTTAAAATAAATACCATTTTTGCAGTTGCTCTCATGCAGTTAAGAGAGAAAGTCATCTGGATTGCTGGAAAGCAGATCACTCTCCCACAAATCACTTGTGAATTTTTCAGAAGCATCCAGCTGGCCATTGTTGTAAACAGTGCTGAAGAATATGGTTATTTCCATGTACATTTAACCAAATGTATGTACATTTAACCAAATGCATGTACATTTAACCAAATGTCTACTTTGATTAAGTGTCGCTTAGGGAATGCAAGGGTGATCGTGTGACACATACAAGTGCTCTCCAAAATGTCGGCACTAGACCCTATCTGCAAACCAGCATCTACGGTAAGTTGCCTAGTAGTATGCCTGGGCCTGCCCTAGGCCTCTCAACAAATACAATTAGCTTCCGAGCACAATTCAAAGTGCTGGTGTTAACCTATAAAGCCCTAAACGACTCCGGCCCTGTTTACCTCTCCGAACGTATTCTCCCCTACGAACCATCAAGACCACTAAGATCATCTGGAGGGGCCCTGCTCTCGGTCCCTCCGCCTGCACAAGCACGGCTGGTGGGGACGAGGGACAGAGCCTTCTCGATGGTGGCCCCTCGACTTTGGAACTCCCTGCCATTAGAGATCAGAACTGCCCCCTCCCTCATGACGTTCAGGAAACTAACAAAGACCTGGTTGTGGAACGCGGCATTTGACAACTGATTTAATTCTTTGCCCACATGAAAGGAGGATGATGAATGGGATTGTGATGGTGTCGGACAATTTGGCTCTTTTAACTGGGATGATAATGTTTTAATGTGTATGGTGCTGATATTTTAATCGTGTAATGAAGTGGCATTGTGTTGTTATTGTATATTTTTTGTATGTTAACACATGTTGTGAACCGGTCCGAATCCCTCTTTGAAGGTGAGAGGGCTGGTATATAAAACCTCGAAATAAATAAATAAATAAATAAATAAATAAATACTCAAAGCCTATTTTATATAGTATAGAAACTTTATTGACCTTGATAGTAAAAAATACATGTGCCAAAATGTGTACAAAATTTTTAAAAAATTACAGACATGGCAATAAAAGAGCATTTAAAGTTTTTCCACCTCTGAATATTTACAATAGTGTCAGGCTTTTCTCATTACTGCAAAAATACTGTGCGCTGAAAATAACGATCCAGTAAAAACCCCAATACTCTTTGCTTACAGTAATAAATTACAAAGTTACATAATGCAGAGAACAGAATACATTCAAAATTCAGCATTCCACGTTTAAATCAAGAATTGGTCCATCAGAACAAGCCTCCTTATTCACCTTTCATTTACATAATTTTTTAATGCAGTAGTTTTATCTTGCATCCTGAACATAACCCACAAAATATAATGCAAAAACTAGGTCTGCTTAACAAATTAACTATACTCGCTTAAAAATGCAATTCTCAGAATAGGCACAGATGCAGAAAAGTTATAAAAGTACAGCAATGTTAGTGTCATAGAATTACTCATCGCTATAAACATTACTCACCAGTGAGACCATCATTCACTTATGAGAAGCTCATCAATAAAAACCATGAGATTCCAATAGGCAGAAGTCTACAATTGTGCCTAGGCTTGTCAGCCAAGGGTAAACAACTGCTAGCCTGTAGGAATATACTAAAAGTGCTTCTGAACATAGGAAGTGTGCTGTTCCCTTTCAATTAAGCACGAGCAGCATTACCGATCCCCTAAACAAAATGAAAGATCTTTGAGAACAGATGCCAAAACCCTGTCTCTGACTCGCTATGCTTTTTCTAACATTAAGGCAGGACCCCCAAACTCCTTGCAAGACGACTATACATAAGAAATCAGTCTCTCCCACTTTGGGTATCAGTTCTGATTTTTAGAATTCCAATCCAGAACTTTTCAAAAGCAAGTCCCCCAAACCTATTATATAATCCCTACTAGATAGATAGATAGATAGATAGATAGATAGATAGATAGATAGATAGATAGATAGATAGATAGTCAGGAGCGAATTGAAAAACTGCAAGACACTTCTGGTGTGAGAGAACTGTCCATCTGCAAGGATGTTGCCCAGGGGAAGCCCGGATGTTTTTGATAATTTTATCATCCTTGTGGGAAGCTTCTCTCATGATCCCGCATATGGAGCTGGAGATGACAGAGGGAGCTAATCTGCGCTCTCCCCAGATTTGAACCTCCTATCTGCTGGTCTTCAGTCCTGCTGGCACAAGGGTTTAATCCGTGTGTGTGTGTGTGTGTGTATACTCACATGCATACTGGGAAAGGGAAAGAGGGGCGCAGCTACAGTTTGTAGCCAATGCATAATATTGGAGATTGTTGACTGCTCTCTAGCACCAAGGTAAGTTCCCCAGGGAGAAATGTGTGGCCTGTCGTGGTAATTGTGCCACAGTATTTGTGATATGTGTGGCATTAAAAGGGTCACTACTAACTGTGAAAATGTGTGAAACAATTATTATTTTCGTCAGTGTAAACAAGCCCTTTGAAATGAATACATTGCAAAGTATGAGTGAGGAACCACACCCCACCACACACCACCTCAAAATATATATTTTGGATGTAATCCTTCAAAGGCCCCGGCCATCATGATCAATACTTAAAAGGCTGTTAGAGTAATAATCAAACATGCCAGAAGTGTCAAATGTCCCCCACATCTGTTCTAAAGAAGGTCCATGTTTCCGGGTTGTTGTAGGTTTTTCAGGCTGTATGGCCATGCTCATGACCTTAGAGGTGTCTACGGACAACGCCGGCTCTTCAGTTTAGAAATAGAGGTAATAATCATCCTCCAGAGTCGGACACTAGACTGAGTGTCAAGGGGAAACCTTTACCTTTACCTTATTCTGTATTAAGCTGGTTGCCCCCAAATCAACGGGTCAACGAATCCATTGCAGATTTCAATCTTAAATTAGCTATATAGTGGATATATTCTGTACATAGAATTCTGTGCCTCACTCAGATCTTTTACATAGAGTTTAGGGGTAAAATGTAGCATACATTCACTGCTCCGCTTACACAAAAAGCCATGAGCCACCTCTGAGCTCTACGTAAAACACATAGCTGCTTGTAATGATAATCTCAAGCAATATCTTTAAATACTAGCTTGCCCTGTATCTGTGGCACAGCTATTTTATGGTTTTAAAACAGTAAATAGCACTTCTCACAGGAAAGTAAGTTTTCCCAAAATATTTCAGAGTATCATATCTTTCTTGTTGCTCTAATGCAGGCATGGGCAAACTTCGGCCCTCCAGGTGTTTCGGACTTCAACTCTCATAATTCCTAACAGCCGGTAGGCTGTAAGGAATTGTGGGAGTTGAAGTCCGAAACACCTGGAGGGCCGAAGTTTGCCGATACCTGCTCTAACGTAACCTAGCAAACAGCACTTATCTACAGCACAGTTACAGATTTGATATTGTCTTAGCTGTCATGACGTCACCCTACAGAATGCTGGGATTTGCAGTTTGTTTGCAGCACCACGATAAATTAGCAAAGAATTTGCAGACAGTGCAAGTACAGTACTAGGATGCCTCAGGATGCAGCTATGACAGCTGAAGTGATATCAAACTGCTACAAATGTGTACTGCTGACAGATTCAAGTATGTACTAAATGGTAAGTTACATTCTGCCCTCATTTTCTTTTCCAAGGCCTACAGGTAGCTGGTAAACTTTTGGAGTGTGAACAACTAGGAATCATTACAATAAAAATTAAGTTTTGCCAGAAGTGCAGTCTATACAGATGTGCACAGTGCTAACTTACAAGACACAATGCAACATTCATTTCCAGTGTAACAAGGAATCCATCAATTTTATGACCTGAAAAAATATTCACAGTAGTATTTTGCATCTTTAACCATTTGAACTATGACCAGACTCCTGGGCTCGTCTTGAATCTGAAGAAGAGTGGGCAAATAACGAAGCCGACCCTTTCAGGCTGCCTGTCTGGGAAATATCGAGGGGTGGATGACTGGCTTGAAGTGGTAGAGCTTCAATAAAGTCACTTTTCGGAGTTGTCCTGTTGCGTAAAAAAGGAAATAGTCAAACATCAAGATAGAGATGCTGTAGAACACGCATGGGCAAACTTTGGCCCTCCAGGTGTTTTGGACTTCAACTCCCACAATTCCTAACAGCTTATCAGCTGTTAGGAATTGTGGGAGTTGAAGTCCAAAACACCCGGAGGGCCAAAGTTTGTCCATGCCTGCTATAGAAAAACTGAACAAGTATTGAAAGAAATACACAACACAATAAATTATGTCCAGCATTTCCAGTTAAAGATCTTCCGTAATAGGGAAGACTTCTACATTTCAGACAAAACAGCAACTGCTGATCAAAGCTGCAATTACGGGCTACATGCACATACCTATAATCCACTTCTTTAAAAAAAAGTCTTAGCCCAGAAAGGACTAAAATGTCAGTCTAATTTTGTAGTGCAGTAATTTACAGAAACTGGATCAAAACCAGTATCAGTTTTCGTGCCTGGTCGTCATGGGAACCACTACAATTTGGTTACAACAGGCTTAAAGCAGAATGCCTATGTGACTGTCAAATACTAAAAGCTATATTGATATTACAAGGTATAATTTCATAGCGCAAACAGCATTTTAACAAGCAGTGCATTTTATAAACATTCCTGCTCTTTTGCCCTCAATAGTTATCTTCTGAAATGGATTTCAAAAAATTGTGAGTGATGCAACATAAATACCACGCCATTCTATCAGCAAGACCAAACAAGCCTCTCCAATCTAAATCCGACAAAACTGCACAGCTGTTATTCTGGTTTCAAAGACTGTGTTTAAGCAATCTATGTAATTGAACCTTAAAATTTCTGCTGAACCAAAATTCCCCACTGCTCTTTGGGTTAGTCTAATCTTGACACTTATATCGCAGTCCAAGGATCAACACATAATGGACACTGTCCACCATCTGTTTAAATAAGTGGTTCCCAACCTTTTTTTTGACAAGGGACCACTTGACCAGAGATCACTTGGACCAGGGACCACTCTCCAACATTAGTACCAAAAGGGTTACAAATCAGTTTTTGGTCAACTTTAGATTCGGTTTGGTTATTTAGGGTGCTGATTCACAAAATTGCATTAGATAGACCACATCAGCTCTAGTTTCTGATACAGAACATATGACATCCAGTAGTCACCATCTGCTCGCCCATAAAAACCATATTTAATAAGCCTCAGCACTATAAGAAGGTTTCACAAGACCAATTGCTCTCATTGCAGTGGTGTAGTAACATTGAGGCCACGGGCCATATTTTAGTTCTTGTGGACCACTGGTAGTCCATGGACCACAGGTTAGGAACCATTGATTTAAATCATGTATCACAACAATTTATTTCCAGGGTACAATTTATGTATTTATGTGAGAAAATCCAATTCTTTTGTCACTAATTGGTTCAGCAGTCTACTCAGTAGACCTGCTGTGGCTACATGGGTAAAATCTTGTTTATTAGTGAGGTGCAAATTTTCTTTTGATATTGCGTAAGAAAGACTAAGAACAGATTTGAAGGACTAGATTTAGTAAACAGAGTCCCAGAAGAACTATGGACAGAAGTCCGCGACATTGTTCAGGAGGCGGCAACAAAGTACGTTCCAAAGAAAAAGAAAACCAAGAAGGCAAAATGGTTGTCTGCTGAGACACTGGAAGTAGCCCAAGAAAGGAGGAAAGCAAAAGGAAACAGTGAAAAGGGGAGATATGCCCAGTTAAATGTGCAATTCCAGAGGTTAGCCAGAAGAGATAAGGAACTATTTTTAAATAAGCAATGCATGGAAGTGGAAGAAGACAACAGAATAGGAAGGACAAGAGACCTCTTCCAGAAAATTAGAAACATTGGAGGTAAATTTCAGGCAAAAATTGGTATGATAAGAAACAAAGATGGCAGGGACCTAACAGAAGCTGAAAAGATCAAGAGAAGGTGGCGAGACTATACAGAAGATCTGTATAGGAAGGATAACAATATCGAGGATGAGTGAATTAGAACCAGGCATCCTGAGGAGTGAGGTTGAATGGGCCTTAAGAAGCATTGCTAACAACAAGGCAGCAGGACATGATGGGATCCCAGCTGAAATGTTTAAAGTCTTAAAAGATGATGCTGTCAAGGTGATGCATGCCATTTGCCAGCAAATATGGAAAACACAAGAATGGCCATCAGACTGGAAAAAATCAACTTATATCCCCATACCAAAAAAGGGAAATGCGAAAGACTGCTCAAACTTCCGTACAGTGGCCCTTATTTCACATGCCAGTAAGGTAATGCTCAAGATCCTGCAAGGAAGACTCCAGCAATACATGGAGCGAGAGTTGCCAGATGTTCAAGCTGGGTTTAGAAAAGGCAGAGGAATGAGAGACCAGATTGCCAATATCCGCTGGATAATGGAGAAAGGCAGGGAGTTTCAGAAAAACATCTATTCCTGCTTCATTGACTATTCTAAAGCCTTTGACTGTGTGGTTCACTGATTTCTGGAAAATTGTTATGGGCACCCAAGCCACCTTGTCTCTCTCCTGAGGAATCTGTACAAGGACCAAGTAGCAACAGTCAGAACTGACCACGGAACAACAGACTGGTTCAAGATTGGGAAAGGCGTACGGCAAGGCTGCATCCTCTCACCCAACCTTTTTAACTTGTATGCAGAACACATCATGCGAGGATGTGCGGGGCTTGATGAATGCAAAGCTGGGGTGAAAATTGCTGGAAGAAACATTAACAACCTCAGATATGCAGATGACACCACTCTGATGGCCGAAAGCGAGGAGGAGCTGAGGAGCCTTCTAATCAAGGTGAAAGAAGAAAGCGCAAAAGCCGGGTTGCAGCTAAACAAAAAAAACCAAGATTATGGCAACAAGAATGATTGACAACTGGAAAATAGAGGGAGAAAACATGGAGGCCGTGACAGACTTTGTATTTCTAGGTGCAAAGATTACTGCAGATGCAGACTGCAGCCAGGAAATCAGGAGACGACTTTTTGGGAGGAGAGCAATGTCCAGTCTCGATAAAATAGTAAAGAGTAGAGACATCAGACTGGCAACAAAGATCCGCCTAGTCAAAGCCATGGTATTCCCTGTCGTCACCTACGGATGTGAGAGCTGGACCTTAGGGAAGGCTGAGCGAAGGAAGATCGATGCTTTTGAGCTGTGGTATTGGAGGAAAGTGCTGAGAGTGCCTTGGACTGCGAGAAGATCCAACCAGTCCATCCTCCAGGAAATAAAGCCCGACTGCTCATTGGAGGGAAAGATACTAGAGACAAAGTTGAAGTACTTTGGCCACATCATGAGGAGACAGCAAAGCCTAGAGAAGACAATTATGCTGGGGAAAGTGGAAGGACAAAAGGAAGGGGGGCCGACCAAGGGCAAGATGGATGGATGGCATCCTTGAAGTGACTGGATTGACCTTGAAGGAGCTGGGGGTGGTGACGGCCGACAGGGAGCTCTGGCGTGGGCTGGTCCATGAGGTCACGAAGAGTCGGAGACGACTGAACGAATGAACAACAAACAAGAAAGACTGCAGGACTACAATGAAAAATAAGTAGGGAAAAAAAGAGTTCTCTACCTTCCTTCAGCCGCTCTCTTCACACTTTCTGAGAAGCTGATATTTTGCACATTGTCTGCCTTGCTGCTCTTTTCTACTTGTTCCAAAGGCACTTTAGGGCTGGTTACCATGGACAATCCACTCTTTACACTGTGGGCAAACTCCTCCTCCTCCACTTTTTGGCTGGCCGCTCCATCTGCTTCCAAATTTTTCTCAGATGATTCTGGGCAGCTTTTGATCTCAGTGAAAGTCTCTTGGCTCAAGTAATCATGGTTTGCAATTGCTGCTGCAGAAGTGCCATGATTGGTTGTGACACCTGTGCTGGTCCCCATTGATTTAGAAATTACCTTCAGCTTGTGAGAGCTGGATTTGTAGTGCTTCTTTCTGTGCTTTGCTGTAGAGTTGTGCTTTAAGAAAAATTCACATGACTCTTGCAACACTCTCCGGCTTTCGCTGATTGGGCTAGACAGGAAAATGACAGAAAATGCCTCCTGATTATTATTTAATAGATGTGCCAAATGCATTCAAATCCAAAACCCCCCTCTGACTGGCATCAATGTTTACATCTCTATTGGTTTACCAATGTACCAGACAATAATCTTAGTAATTTTAATCACTTTTTATGGAGAAAGGGGACAGAAATAAGCACAAAACAACACTAATACGTGAAGAACTCTGCACATTTGTCATCCTTCCAAGGATTCATAAGCTGAGTAACTATTATTAGTACAAAGTCAGAGTTGGAATAATATCTGCATCTTCCCAGAATGAGTTTTAAGCTAAATATTAAGAGGCACATTATTTCTTGGCTATAGAAAGAGAATGAGAAGATGTGATTTTCCAGAGGAAAATGTATTGCCTAACTGGGATATGGGCCTAGTTCAATGGCCAATGTTCCAAGCACTAGAGTCCAAACTACAGAGATCAAAAAGGGGCAAAAATTACACAGGAAAGATACAAAACCTTCCCCACTACTTCTTTGACCAATTCATGCTGCATGAAGGATCACTACAACTGATGTGAAGCCTTTGCAACCACACATCATTGTTTGCCTTAGCTTAGCTTGGAACAAGTCAAGGGATAGGAAGTCTAAGACATCTAGATCAGTGCTATCCAAATAGTGGTCCCTGTACTAGTTTCAATCCCTGAGTGCCCAACTGCCTGTCCACACAGGAAAGAAAAGCACTTGTACACAGTGGGTACAAATATTGTGCTGATCACTGGCACATCGAGGACGGAAGGAAGGGCGATGACAGTCCCTCACATCAGACAACTTGAGATGGATAAAAGGAAATGCCGCATATACTCGGGTATAAGCCAAATTTTTCAGCCCTTTTAAAAGGCTAAAAATGCCCCCCTCGGCTTATACTTGAGTCAAAGTAATTTATTATTTTACACTGTTATTATTCTTTTTATTATGTTTATTATTTTTCTCTATTATTTTTATTACATTTATTATTTTACTCTATTCGTATGGGAAGTACCCATCGCCAGTACACCGATCTTGGAAAACAATCCTACTCTGACAACGAGGGACTGCCAAAGTAAGAAAGTAAGTATTGGAAGGATACATAAGCACATTTACATTGAAGGAGGTTAGAATAATGGTTTAATCAGAGTTGGAAAGTCTTACTTAAATTACAGTTTTATGTAAATATTCAAAAACATTTAACCTACTGATGCCTCAATTAATGTAATGTTATTGGTATCTATTTTTATTTTGAAATTTGCCATTAGCTCCTGCATTATATTCGGGTCGGCTTATATTCGAGTGTATACGGTAGTATGTCACACATCACTCTCTCTAGATTTTCTTGTAGAATACAACTTGTAGTACAGCCTGGACAGGTTTGATGGGAACTGGAAACAACATTTGGAGTCTCACAGGTTTCTCAATCTTGATCTTGTCTAACATCCTCTCTCACAATGACCAGCTACATGCCACTTAGAAGCCCACAAGCAGGATATTAAAGCAGAACCTCTCCAGTACTACTTTTGAAAAAAATGGAGGCAGTTATAGTTTTACTGCCCTTGTTAATGAATGCATGCCTTCTGTGCAAAGTGCAACAGTATTTCCTTTTGTTCATCTTGTCTTCCTCGAGTCTATGTTTCTCTTTCCTTTCAACCATCTCAAATCTGTGCAGTCATGCAATTCCATTTCCCAGGTCTCTCTTTTGACAGCCCCCACCTCCCAGCAACATCTCATGCAGATCAAACAAAAAAAGGCCCGCTTTCCCCTTCAACTGCCTGCCTTCTCCCACCCATTGTTCCCTCAGTCTTGCACCTGCATCCCCTTGCTTCTCAGTCCATTGCCTGTTCCGTTCCTCTTCCTGACAGGAAGACATCCCATTGAATAACCCAAAGACTTGGGCCCACTTTACTTCCCAATCGTCAGTCTTGTTGCCTGTTTACATTGCACACAGCTGCCTCTAAACTTTCAACCCTCATGAATAGCTAAAACTGCTCAGTTTCACTCTGTTGCTGTAAAACAGATGGCACAGGCAAGTCATTTCAGTACATCAAAAATAGTTTTTACCTAAAAGCAATCACACTTAGTATATGGATAAATAAAATGAAGCTTATACCTGGGATAAGCCAGTAGTATTAAAAACTAATGTGACACATTCTCTCAAACCTTCAGAAAAGGCACAAGAAACAACTGTATTAAAATGTGGGGGGGGGGGGGGGGAGATCACATAGAAACAAATCTAGCAAGAAATATAGATTTAAGGAGCTAAATAAAACAATTTGCAAGTATTGGTTAATAGTAGCAAGGAAAATAGAAATGAAGCAGACATAATTCACACAACACTGTGATGTATGCACAGTATGATGGTGAGTGCTGCTCAACTGCTCTCATGACAAATGAGAGCAGTTGAGCAGGTAACCTTCTCCAGTTTATTCTCTCATCTAAAATCAGAGAAGCAAACAAAGATCAAAGCTTGCAAATTCTCTTGCTTGTTTACTAGGACAGAAATAAACCAGAAAGGACAGCTGCCCTGAAGGACTCAGTGGTTTGCTTAGCAACTCCTGCTGAAAGTAGAAGCAATCAAACAGCATGCAAAAGCATGTTGTAAATTCAAAACAAGTCAACATTCTGCCAGATCTCTCACTTGTTTTGTGAATTCACCAACTGAATATGCCCATTAACTTCACTCTGAAATTCATGGGGTCAGCATAAGTTGACAGGTAACTTAGAGGTGAGCACACACATCATGGAATGGTCAGAGATAGCTTGAAATGTAGCCTGCAGCACTTGGCATTTGTTGGTGATTTGTTGGTACTAACCTAAGCTAACCCAGATCAGAGATAATCCGGTCTTCCTGATAAGAATAAACTTACCAAAGAATTGTTTATGGGGAAGTTTTACACTAAGTAGAATTGTTTATGGAGATGTTTTACACAAAGGGGGCAGGCTTTAGCACAGTTGGTTAATCACCAGCAGCAATAGATCTGACCAATCTGAAGTTTGGCGGTTCAAAGCCAGAGTTGGAGTGAGCACCCAACCTTCAGCCCAGCTTACTGTCCACCTAAGCAGTCTGAAAACAGTTGTGAGCTGTGAGTAGAGAAATCAGGCACCGCTTAAGCAGAGAGGTATTTTACGGCATCATAAAAGAAATACCAGAAAATGCCAGTGATCAAAGGAAGGAGAAAGTCTGTGATCAAGGCTCTTCATCATAGATGATGCTTACTTGTCTGAACGTATTTCCCTCTACGTTCCACCTCATAATTTAAGATCTACTGGGGAGGCCCTGCTCTCGGTCCCACCGGCTTCGCAAACACGTCTGGTGGGGACGAGGGACAGGGCCTTCTCAGTGGTGGCCTCCATTTGTGGAGATCAGATCAGCGTCCTCCCTCCTTTCTTTTACAAAAAAACTAAAAGCGTGGTTTTGGAGCCAGGCCTTTGGCTAAGTGGGCAAAGCAGCACTTTAAATACAGAACCCAGACCACAGGACTGTTATGACAATTAGAAACGGCTATGTGACTTCATGACTTTGTGATTATATGATTTTAATTAATGTTACTGTTTTTAATCTGCTATGTATTATGATTTTATATTGTGTTACTGATATAATGGCATTGAATTGCTGCCTGTGTTAGCCGCCCTGAGTCCCCCCTTGGGGTGGGAAGGGCGGGGTAAAAATGGTGTAAATAATAATAATTAATAATAATAAGAGGATGGAGTGATAGTACTCCCCAGTGGCTGGAATCGAGCACAACCTCCAGGATGCCGAAGATGGGGAAAATGCCAATATAATGCCTCTATCTGTTGTCTGTCCTTTCTGTTTAACAGCACTGAATGTTTGCCATGTATGTGTTCTGTGATCTGCCCTAAGTCTGCTCCGGGGTGAGAAGGGTGGAATATAAATGCTGTAAATAATAATAATAATGACTAACCACAACCACCCAAACATAAAAAGGGGGCACTTCTAGACCTTGCAACATACACCAAAAAGTTAAAAGCATGCCAATTAACAGTGTTTTTCTAAAAGTGTTCCGCTTATTAAGTTCACAGAACAGAATTCAAATTAAAAAGAGCCTTACTCTCTTTTGCGATTCCTGTTGAAGAAATTTGCCCATTCTGAACAGGTCTTTTTGCTTCCCACCCAGAAGACTGGAGAGATGCCAACAATTAAGGTCATCAGATATTTCATCAGAAACAAAAACATTTCAGGCCTCGCTAATGTCTTGACCTGCAAAACAATCCCCATTCATTAAGAATTCAATAGAAAAATGGTTTTTCCTGTATTACAAATCTGAGGACAAAGTAAACAGCAACACAGTAAGTATCTTAAAGTGTTATTTTTACTATTTTTCACTCTGGCAGACACCTAAATTGGCTGATTAACCTGATTTGCTCAAGAACCCTTGGAAATTGCAATGCTGCAAAGGGTCATAGGGAGGATATAAAGCTTGGAAAAATATTCCCAACAGCCTTATTTTATGACACTAAGAACATCAAGCCTCCAAATAAGAATTAAGGAGATACAAAAGCCCAATACAGTAAAAAATAGCTATTCCACCCAAATAAGGCAACAAAAGTACAAGCCCAGAAATCCTGTGGAAGCTTGAAGAAACTCCCTTAAAATTTCCCTACATTTTAGAATGAAATTGTGAGTAAAAATATGCCATAGCTCTCAAAATTCCAAAACATGGCCATCCTGTATGAAAACAGGAAAGGTGTGACTGATTGTTGTGCGTAGATATCCGCACTGACCAACATGGCTGTGCCATTTCAGTACAGTAGGAAGATGACACAACTGATGAGCTGAAGTTAATAAGATCAGGCAGAATCTTCAGAATGCCTGAGGAAAGTGTACAAGGATTTGTTTTCCTGCTGTGCACTGCAAAATGAATTCATGCCTGTGCAGAACAGGCTTTTCAAAGACCAACTTTAACTCAAGTGTCTACTTGTCTCTCTCGCCTAGGCCTCTAATTTTGTTTTAATGTATCTTGGCAAATTCAGTTCTATTATCTTGGTCCTGAGATCACAGACTCAGAGTTGGAAGAAACCACAAGGGCTATCCAGTTAAACCTCATTCTGTTATGCAAAAATACACAATCAAACCACTCCTGACAGATGGCCATCCATACAATACCCTGAATTTTGGAAACAATGGGATTGTTTCTCCTTTGTATAAGTTTTCTAGAATATCACTTTGTTACTTTAGGAACTCTCTCTATAAAGTAATTTGGCATGATTATTCTCATGTCTGACAGGTTTAAAGTACAGCTTATCCAGAAAGTGGTAACTATGGTTTTAAACTTTGAATATGTTTTGATGGATTTTAACTGAATTTTTTAGTGCTGTTTATAATTCTGTTTAAATGTTTGCATATTTGTGTATTTTAAATTGAATGATAAGACCTCACAACTTCTGAGGATGCCTGCTATAGACGTGGGTGAAACATCAGGAGAGAATGCTTCTGGAACATGACCATACAGCTCGGAAAACTCACAGAAACCCTGTATGCTAAAGTTTTTATGTCAAATTGCTTTGAGTCTCCTTCGGGCGAGATAAAGAAGGAAATAACTAAATATAATAATGGTAACAATAATATTAATAATAATTTGATTTTTTTAAATCTTTTGTTCTCAATTGAACCTTAAGATTCTGAACTGCAATGAACACCTAAAATAAAATTGTTCAGCAGTGGAACTCTCTGCCCCGGAGTATGGTGGAGGCTTCTTCTTTGGAAGCTTTTAAACAGAGGCTGGATGGCCATCTGTTAGGGGTGATTTGAATGCAATTTTCCTGCTTCTCGGCAACGGGTTGGACTGGATGACCCATGAGATCTCTTCCAACTTTATGATTCTATGAAAGCCTCATTGGTATTGCCACATTATGAGAAATAAACACTTCCCAAAGCCCTTATAATAACTGAAGGCTCTTTCATTTCACAGAAATTGCACACCCCTAGACAAAGCAATATCATATATTTTGCTGCAGCAAATCTCCAAAGGTGGACAAATGTGAGGAAACAACCATGCATCTCAAAACCCTTTGTTAATCAGATACATACTGTGTAAGTATTTAATGCTTACCTGATAGGGGCAAGGTATATGGAACTCATCACAATGGTCATACACCCAAGTGATTTCCCAGATCTTTCTGTACACTTGTTCATAGGTGTAGCATGTCAAGAGCATTACTAGAGGTACTAGGTATAAGCCACTGAAGACACCAATTCGAATCATGAATTTCTTCAGCTTCTCTTGATTCCTGCCATCATGCTGTATGACTTGCCGCACATGGTTTAGAGAAATTATTCCCGCTAGAAGAAGAGACAAACCAACAAAAACACAAAGGCACAAAGGCAAAAGGACAAAGTATCGGGATGTATCTAAGTCATAGAGGCCAACAAAACAAACACCACTGATGTTGTCACCTTCCACTTTGTTCATCGCCAGCAGCATAACAGTGAGAAAGCCAGGCATGCCCCAGGCAACAGCATGGAACCACATTGCTTTCTGTTCAATAGCTTCACAACTCCATTTGCGCCCGGCAGCGAGGAACCAAGTGACTGTGAGAATCACCCACCATACAGTTCCGGCCATTGTGAAAAAATACAAGGCCATAAAAACAATTGTGCAGCCTTTGTTCTGAGAACCAAGAACAACTGTGGCACCGAGTTGGAGCTTTTCATCTGCTTGATTGCAGGCTATTCTATTGCCCAAAAGAAAGCCAAGGAAGTAGACAAGCGACACTATGCTGTAACAAACAGAGTAATATATGATCGGCCGCTCTGGATACCTGAACCGCTTAACATCTATCAAAAATGTAAGGAATGTAAACAGAGTGGCGCAGAGGCAAAATATTGAAACAATCCCAATGAAGCTTGTGGCAACATCTAGCTCATGGTCACTGAAATACATGTTGGGACATGGAGGTGCACACTGATCAATTCCCAAAAACTTGTAGCTTTGTCCTCTGGAAGTCTGCAGATGACGTGGACACCAAAATCCATAATCTCTTCTAGGCTGTCGTAGGGTCTTCTGTGTGCCATGGGCTCTTGTGGTTGCAAAAGGAGTGACGGCAGCAGTTTCATCACAATCCTCCAATCTATGAAAAGTAGAAGAGAAAAGGAGCTAAAGGATTGTGGAACCGGTCTCCGATCTATGATAGTGATGGGGAACCTTCTGCAACCCAAAGACTAACTTCCAATTTAAGAAGCATGTCACGGAGTGCCTTCCAGGAATGGTCCATGTTTAGGGAATGGGGAAGGCTAATGCAAACTGGGAAAAGTCAGTCAGATGCAAATGGTGACAATGCTTCATAGTGTGCCACTTGTCAAAGATACAATTTTTTTTGCTTGATGCAGACAGGGTTCCCTGTATTAGATAAAGCGTGTCAAACTTTAAATAGTCCCTTATTTCTGCAGCACTTTGAGGTAAGGGTTAAAATAAACCTCTACAGGTAGAAAAGGGAACTTGTATAGACAAACTAGGGCCACAGCTAGGAGATTCCTTACCCTAATCTATGGGGCTTTATTCACTTATTAGTCATCTGCACCCTTAAATAGTATTTAGATATTTTAACACAGTATAGTATTTTTTCTAGTGTCAGGAGCAACTTGAGAAACCGCAAGTTGCTCCTGGTGTGAGAGAATTGGCCGTCTGCTAGGACATTGCCCAGGGGACACCCAGCTGTTTGATGTTTTATCATCCTTGTGGGAGCTGGAGCTGACAGAAGAAGCTCATCCACACTCTCCCTGGATTCAAACCTCTGACCTGTCAGTCATCAGTCCTGTCAGCACAAGGGTTTAACCCATTGCGCCACCAGGGGCTCCAGTACATTGAATAAAATAGCATCAACAAAATATTGATGCTGTTTTATTTATTGGGTCATTGTGAGTTTTCTGGGCTGTATGACCATGGTCCAGAAGCATTCTCTCCTGACGGTTCATTCACTTCTATGTCGGGCATCCTCAGAGGTTGTGAGGTATGTTGGAAACTGGGCAAGGGTTTATATATTTGTGGAATGTCTGGGGTGGGAAAAAGAACTCATTTCAGTTGGAAGCAAGTGTGAATGTTGCAATTGGTCAGTTTGATTAGCATCAAATACCCTGGCAGCTTCAAAGCCTGCCTGCTTCCTGCCTGGAGGCATCCTTTGTTGGGAGGAGGAGAGAATGCTTCTGGAACATGGCCATACAGCCCAGAAAACTCACAGCAACCCAATGATTCCGGCCATGAAAGCCTTCAACAACACATTTTATTTATTATTTGATTTGATTTCTCTGTTTGTTATGGCATTGAATGTTTGCCGCTCTCTGCTTGGAAATCACCTTGAGTTCCCCCAGGAAGATAGGGTGGGTTACAAATAAAGATGATGATGATGATGATGATGATTACATTTTAAAGAATAGATTGAGTTTTGAAAAGATGTTCTTCATCTGTTCTTCACAAATGATTGTTCTTCGCCAAATGATTCACTTGACTCCTCCACAGACCAGGTTATATTGTGGTGGGGGTGATATACAGGGAAATAGTTGGGATTCTTTTCTCTACCAATTTCCAGCAGGTTGGGATTGGGAATGCCTTGAGGCATTGGGAATGCCTTGTGGGAATGCCTCAAGGCATTCCCAATCCCAACCTGCTGGAAATTGGTAGAGAAAAGAATCCCAACTATTTCCCTGTATATCACCCCCACCACAATATAACCTGGTCTGTGGAGGAGTCAAGTGAATCATTTGCTCCTCACACAAATCTGGTTTTCCATTCACTTTAAAGGGAACTTAACCTATATGCCTACTATCTACAACACATCTATTACATAGTGTTGTACTTGACTCCACAGATGGTCACAAAATTTAAGAAAGTTCAAATCTATACATTTCATTCTAAGCCATGCATGTAAATCAATATAGGGACAGATGAAGATGTTTTACAAATCTGATAAAAATAAAATTGCTAATAAATATCCATATTCATATACACATACAAAGTAATAAATGAATCCAGCTCATGACCTGAAGTATGAAATACACTGTCTCAAAAAACACATAAGCCTCCAGCACTGGCTCTTTGAACGAGGAAAAGGGCTAACATATATATCCCATAATTACCTTGCAGAATCAAGCAGTTATATGGCATTGTATACCAAATTGGCTTTATTACTGTTCTCTTCAACGGAAAAGAACATTATGTGCCAGACTGTCACCAAAGAAGGTAGAATTGAAGCTTATCTGTGTGGAAAATGGGAGGTGTTTTGTGAACTAGCTTCAGTCTGACACAGAAAAGCATCCTATTGGTGGGTAATGCATGAACAAGGACAGGCTGAAACCCAAGTAAAAGCCAGAGGAACTGAGAGATTGAATCAAAAGCACTGTACCTGTTGCATTCAAGCTCCTCAGGCCAGGTGATTCCAAAGGTGTCCATGTATTGTTTACAGTCAGAGTAAACTCTTTCACAAAGACTTCGGCATGGGTGAATTACACGCGCTGGTTCCACACAGAGAGGCACAAATGCTTTGCACAAAAATGTACAAACATCTGGTGAACACTCAATATTCATAAGAGGAAGGAACGGCTTTGGGAAAGAACACAAAGATTAAAAAGGTGAAAGAAGAGAACACAAAGATGCTCTGACTGAAACTTTATCTTGTGTTTGTTTGATAGTATTGGCATTGGCTTGTTACAAAACTATTATAAAAGAATGACTTGCAGCTTGTTAATTTTCATAGATGAAATGTGTGTTTAAATTGGTGGGGTGTTTCAGCAAATTCTTCCAAGCAATTTATCTGTCCTGACTCACTGTTGTCACTGCACTTTCCTAAAAGTAACCTTCATGGAAATATTAGATTTCTAGTGCATCTGGGCTTGATTTCTTAGCTGCCGATAAGTTTCCGATCCAAAGTCAAGGTACAAGTTATGACCTGTTAAGCCCTTAACAGTTCAGGCCCCACCTATCTTCGTGACCGCATCTCCCTCTATGACCCGGCATGGGCTCTAAGATCTGCGGGGGGGGGGGGGGGGGGGGGCTTCTCTCGCTTCCACCACCATCACAAGCATGGTTGGTGGGGAAAAGAAAGAGGGCCTTCTTCCCAGGGAAATTAGGCAAGCACCCACACTGTCCTCCTTCCATAGAGATTTGAAAACATGGATATTCCAGCTAGCTTTTGAGAATGATTACTTCCTAGCCAAATATGTCAAGTCACTAGATAGTACTCTGTTTTGCACTTCATCCACTGCCCCAGCCCTATGGTTTGCTATTTGCACTATCCCTACCCAGCCCTTATATAGCTTGGCCAGGTCCATCTTAGAAATTCGGTTACTGGTTTATGTTGAATGTGATCTGATAGAAACTCAGATGCAATCTATTTTATTTTGTTATGTTTACTGTGTTTTATCTTGCTTGTTGTATTTTATGATGCTCCTATTTTAATGTGTTTTAGTTTATGGACTGTTTTGTTTTCAAGTTTTTATGGACATTTGTCCCACTTTTGTCCTACATTTAAGCCGCCCTGAGTCCCTTCGGGGAGATGGTGGTGGGGTATAAAAATAAACACTCTACCTCTGAGGATGCTTGCCATAGATGCTGGCAAAACGTCAGGAGAGAATGCCTCTAGAACATGGCCATATATCCCGAAAAAACCTACAACAACCCAGTGATTCCGGCCATGAAAGCCTTCGACAATACATTAAAAATAAACTTGTTGTTGCTGTTGTTAGGGATAGGATGGATATTTGAAAACATATAAAATATTGGACACATTCCATATTAATGAAATATGCATATCGACAGGGTAGAAAATTGTAGGCATTTCTTTCCAATTAGTTTCAAACACCTCTCATCATTTATTACTGCTGTCCACACCACATATAAAGCCATCAGGCTACGATTAGCCCCAGGGAACTTCCAGTTTGGATTTCAAAATGGAAACATTAACACAGAAATAGTATGTAAGTGCCTATTAATATGCCAAATTAACATATTAAAATTTGGGGGGGGGGGGAGAGGGAAGACAATTGCTAGCCTTTTCTGGAGTATTCCCATCTTGGAGTTACTCCCTTTTGGACCCTCACTTTGCTGAAAAGGATGAGGGGTTTAAAATGTTGTTTCTCATGAGATTAACTGTAAATCAAAATTAAGGCTTAGAAATACAGCACAGGAAAAAGGCTTTTCTGCATCTGTCTGTAAGCACATGTAATACTGGTCTCTCCTCTTCTTTTTTTAAAGGAATGTATACATATAATGGCTTCGTTCATTAAATATGCCCCTGGGCAGTAGAGCAAGGAAAGAGTTATGTGTGTTTTACATATATCTTCACATCTGTCAGAAGCTACTGGAAGAGGCCAAGGAACTGTTGCAATGAGGAATTACATTACAGGTTTCTACACTGATCCTCAAATAGAAGCCTCAGACGAGAGGCTGTTTTTTGAATCAATTTTAATTAAATATCCATCCCGACTGGTTAGCTTGCACCAGGTATGTTACTTCTGCTGGATGATAAAATGAAAGGCAACGGGTTTTTGGAGCTCTAGGTTAGACATGCAATTTTGCTTATCGTATTTCATGGCTATCAGGGAAATATATAAGGAGGAAAAAAATTCTCCTTTCTTTTTGATACTCTGTGAGTTTAGTGGAAATTCTCCATTATACAAAGCGAATGCTCACACTTCTTGATATTCCCTAAACAAAAAACAGAGTAATATATTCTACAATTACATTCTAAGCAAAGGAGACAAAATGTGCAGACCATGTTAAGTGTCAATGCTTACACAAACTTTGTTTCATGTACAAAATCATTTAAAATACTATGTATCAATGTATATGCAAGTATTTCAAAAATTCCAGGGGGGAGAGCCCAAAATGTGGAACACTTCTAGTGATAGGCATTTTAGATTTATATTTTTTTAGAAAAGAAGGAAGAGAAAGTAAAAACTTCTTCCTCAGGTTGATTGTTCAGGAAAATAATGAAGATATGAGAAGGCAAGAACAAGAGGTGTGATTATTTTTAAAAAATTTAAAATCTGGTGAATTAGAGATCCCTTCCTTTGATACATACCACCCAGACATTTAGCAGCAGACCCAGATTTATTCTCTGTCTACCTCAACACTTTCCATACATTATCAATAGTGTATCTAATGCACATTGCACATTCACTACCCAGACATCTAGCAGTAAACCCAGATTTACCCTCCATCTACCCCAACGCTATCCACACATTATCAATAGTGTATCTATTGCATATTAATAGAAGCACCTGCCTTATTATTTCATAAACACGAAGTTACTTCCCCCAGTTTCATATTAAGCAGAATCGGTTGAAAAACTAAGGCTGCATTCAAAATATTGCTGAGGTCATAAAGTCTGTCAGAGAGAATTACTACTTGCTCCAGGTTAGAGAATGGTCTCAGATGCCATGCTATCAAATTATAAAAAACATTGTTTTAGCATTGGAAGGAGTACCACAGGCTTGAATTGTTAAATGGCAAGTCCGCACATAAGTAAATCCTAGTAATTGAATTGGTCTACTTTAGGTAGAACTAGCAAGAGAATGCAGGCCAAAGTTTTCCTCATTTATTCCATAATTTTACCAGGCTTGTGTATTTGTACTGAGGATGATGGGATACCTTCAAGTAAATATGAATTAACAGCAACATCTCATACAATCTGGGAATGGTTTCAGTTCAGAAATTACCTTTTCCTCCATTTTTTACATTTTAATTGATATTTTAAAAATATTAAAATTCTTAACTCTTGTGGTAAGGTGGCCATAAACTATCTCATCTACTCTGGAGATTAATCAAACTGTGGCATGACTTATTTTTAAAGTTAGATGAATATTTGAATGAGAAAGCTGTATCAAAAATACCTTTAAAAATTCTCCTCATACCATCCTGTTTATCTTCTAAAGAAGATGGCCCTTTGCCAAGTTCCTTTACCATGGGAAGCTCACTGTGAAAAAATTAGGCAAAGAGCCTTTGCTATAGTAAGTAACCACGAGTCTCAAGAATGCCAGAGTTGCTGATATCCAACTGGCAGGAACATTAATTTTTAGCACCAGGTTAAACTTTTCTCCTCTAATTAGGTTTTTCTTTCTAATATCTGAATGTCTGGTTTAAATACTTTCTACAAAAAAACCTGATAAAACATTTCTATTTTGCTTTGGAACATTCATAGGATATTTAAAATCCATTAGACCTTCACCAATTCTGGGAGGGAACGGTCTCATTCCTGTAAGAATCTGTGAAATCAAACTCTTTGGCTTTTAGCCAAATAATAAACCAAAATCTATATACCAAAATCTAAATAATAAAACCAGCAAATGTGTCTAATATACAAAGACACATTTGCAGCTATCCTAACATCTAATGAGCTAATAGGTACTCTTCAACTAAAATGTATTTTATCTTTCTGCTAGCAACACAGTAGAAAGATCAAGAATCTCAGATTAAGAGACTTCATGGATATTTTAATGTTGTGAGCCTCTGTTACTGAAGAAAGACATATCACAGCAATTCCATTGAGTGTCCTGTGGTCTCATTCCAAGAAAACAAAACCCTCAGCCACACTCACATTCTTGGAATTTTGTACCATCCCAAGAATTGAGGGGTGGGTTTAAAAAAATATATTAGCACTTTTCCTCTTAAATTTCTTTATGATTTGCACCCTGTCTTCACTGCTTTCTCTCTGTTCTCTGCAGTCCCTCTATTTAAAACACTAATCTTATTTAAAACCTCTGCTTTCTCATGCTTAGGCTCATCTCACACCTCTGCACCGAATTTGCCTTTATGAGTATCAGAAGCAGTGAGCTAGCAACTGTTTGGGTTTATTCCCTTAGATTTATGTAAATGTTTAATATTTCTATTATATATTGCTCCAAATGATCTTTAAATAGAGGACGTATTTTAGAAATCTGATAAATATCCATGTTTTCAACTATGGCCCTGAAGTCTCCTGCTTTAAGTCCATTTAAACTTTCATCTGTGTGGTTTTTGGATGCAGTTGGTCTCAGTTTACATTATATGCTACCTGTATAATACAACAAAAATGTTATTTTTATACCCAGCCACCATCTCCCCAAAGTGATTTAGAGCGGCTTACATAGGAACCAAGCCCAGAGCATACAACAAAACAAGCTAGAACACCGTTAATAACATAATAACATATAATATCACATAAACATTCTAATTAAAACAATTAAAAACAGCAGAGTATAAAAACATGATTTGTGCAAAAGCAAACTATGGGGCTGGGGGTAAAGTGCTGAATACAACCTTATCTAAATTAGGACTGGGCATTCATGAATTTGGAACATCCATGAACATGTATACCAACATGGTTGTCATTTGATCATCCAGTTATGCAGCTGAGAGTTTTTTGAAGTTCCCCTCCATTATTTTATCAGTTACGGTCTGTCCTTCACATTTACAGGTTCCTCTTTTGTGGATTTGATTATTCACAGATTTGATTAAAATGTTATCCAGGAATCTCTAGGGTCCACTAGTGGGATCTTTATGTTCAACCACAGAGTTGCCCTGAAGCATATAGATAGACATAATACTTCTGTAGGCATCTATTGGTTCTCCAGTACAATTCTATGGTCAATATCCATCAAAGGTTGACTATAAAGCCATGCTGGAGGACTTATTGATTCCCAGTGAGATGTTCTCTAAGGTTAAAAAATACGTTTTTATTCAAGATTTTCTCACAGTCACAGGGGTCTTGCACCGCTAAGCCTAATGATATGAAGAACTGGCTAGACATATATTTTTTTCATTTCTGACTCCATATAATTTTGAATAAAATTTAATTTTGCTAAGGACCCCACTTTTTAAAGTTTTACTCTTAAACTTTTTAAACTTTTAAACTTACACTTTTGCCTTCTGTCTTTTTAAGCAATTTCTGATCCATAAGGAAAGCTATTATCTTAACTGATATACTGCCTTTAAAGTCTTTAATGAAACACTTGAAGCACAAGTATCTCTGATAAAATCAATTCTAAGTCTTAAGCCAAGTCAGACTATGTTTCCCCATACCACACATTTCTTCACCATCTGATGAATAGGAACAATGCAAACATCCTCTCACAAACCTCACCTACATGGAAAAGGCAGTGCCTGTGTACTTATCAGAAAACAATCATCACCCATGACACTGTTTCTACAACATAACAGACCTCTTCAGGTGGTAAAAATAATGAACACATAAAAGGGTTACCAAAAGGAAGGAAGTCTACATTCGCACTCTAATGAGTTCGACAAACTTCAATTCTGCGCTTCGAAGGTACAGAGAACTGCACATCAGCTACGACTGTGTTTAATATTCAGCTTTCAAGAAAGTCTGGCCCAGGGGTCCTCAAACTAAGGCCCGGGGGCCGGACATGGCCCTCCAATGTAATTTACCTGGTCCTCCTTCAGGGTCAACCTAAGTTTATATTTGTTAAATTGTTCATTTAAATTATTGTATTTATTTATTTATTTATGACATTTATATGCCACCCTTCTCACCCCGAAGGGACTCAGAGTGACTTACAAGATATATATACATACAATATATTATATTATTAACATAGTACAATATCAGTATTATAAATTACTATATTGTACTATACCATTATTAGTAATATTACATGTAATATAAAATATATAATTACAATATTGTATTATTATTAGTGTTATATTGTATTATATTTTATTGTATTGTTTTAAAGTGTTTTTTTAATTACAAATAAGATGTGTGCAGTGTGCATAGAAATGCATTCATGGGGTTTTTTTTTTCCAAATTATAATCCGGCCCTTCAACAGTTTGCGGGACTGGGACCTAGCCCTTTGTTTATAAACTTTGAGGACCCCTAATCTAGCCAGTATTTCTTGACAATTTCTCCACGCATTCAGTACACACAGATAACTAAACACATCAACAAGACCACTGAGGGTGAATGATTGGCAAATTAGTTCAACAGGATCCAACAATTCCTGAACAGGATTATTGGAGTCCTGTTCCAGCATGCTGGAATCCTAAACAGATACATGCACAAGATCACAGGCACAGTACAGCAGAAGTAGGGCTTGTCTAATTTCTGCACCTCCTGACATGCATAGGATAGCACAGTCTATTGGCTAATTGAAAGAGATAATAGAGTTGCAATTTGGATTTTTAAAAAGTATCTGGAGAGCTGGAGAATTTCCATCCCTGTATAAAAACATTTTGTTGCAGGTCTCAACGTGCACAATGTAAAAAAATACTTGTAAAATATCTGTTCTTAATAATGAAAATAAATGTCTTTTACAAAGATAAATGCATTTTAAATAACCTATTTTTTAGAAGCTGTTTATATAAAGACAAATTAGGAAGAAACATATGCAGAAGTTGTAATTTTACAGGATTATTTGATCTTATTATACAAAAACTATTTTAAAAATCTGAAGGTTTACAAAATACACTTCTTTCACTGTTAGACAGTGAAGACGGTGCATATTTTTATTCTTAAATCCCTGAAAAAAATGATAGAAGAACCTCTACTGCTGCTAAATCAAACCATCGAACTACACAAAAATAAATCTAAAATCTGACCACAAGTCTATGCTGTCCAATTTACATCCGCACCTGTATGGTTCAGAGTATCAGGTCTTTTCTTCTTAATGCAATCATTTCTTATTCAGAACTAAGTGGTATCAAGGTCATCCAATAATAGAAAGGTTACTTATAAGCATGTGGCAGAGAAAGAAACTCACCTTCATATGTAGAGCTGCAGTATATTGATCGTAATGCCCCATTATATTGGGGAAGAACGTCATATTGTAGGACATTGATGTACATCTTGGGATATGAATGGGCTCACAAGTGAATAAGCTGTGCCCATGTGCTAAACTGAAGATTAAACTCCAAGTCAGAAGCAGAAGAAAGGTATTCATCTTGGCTGATATTAGAAACTTCAGCACATGGTCATGATCGGTTACTCCTTGTTCAATCGGTCGGACACAGCATCTTCCTTATTGATTGAATCTGTCGGACACAGCAATTCAACGCCAAGACTGAATTACTTGTTTCTCTTCATATTCTCATTGTTGGTTTGTCAGCTTGAAAGATGTTTTCAAACTATAAATGAATAATAAGAAAAAGATTAATGTGTTGTCGAAGGCTTTCATGGTCAGAATCATTAGGTTGCTCAAATAAGTGCTGTATTCAGATTGGTTCATCAGGTACTACAAGTCTACATAGGGACCACCAAATGCAGCATTGCCCAAACACAAATCAAGGAACATGAAAGGCAGTGCAGACTAATTCATCCTGAGAAGTCAGCCATAGTAGAGCACCTGATGAACCAATCTGGACACAGCGTATTATCTGAAAACACAGAAATGCTGGGCCACTCCAAGAACCACCATGTCAGGATACACAGAGAAGCCATTGAAACCCACAAGGCATGTGGACAATTTCAACAGAAAGGAAGAAACCATGAAATGAACAAAATCTGGCTAACAGTATTAAAATACTCTGAAATTATAACCGTAAATAAAGAACAACCTTCAAACACAGGGAAACTCCAGACAAGAAACAGCTAACATCTTCCAACAAAGGTTCCCCCAGGCAGCAACCAGCCAGGCTTTGAAGCTGCAAGGCCATTSAATGCTAATCAAAGTGGCCAACTGCAACATTCACACCTGCCTCAAACAGACAAGAGTTCTTTCTCCCACCCCAAACATTCCACAGATATACAAACCCCAAATGCCTAGTTTCCAACAGACACCCCCCCCCCCAAATAAATGCCGGCAAAACGTCAGGAAAGAATGCGTCTGGAACATGGCCATACAGCCAGAAAACGCACCGCAACCCTGTCTTTAGAGTTCGCTTTAAAGTTTGCAAACAACTGTTTGGATTATCCCCTGGAGTGAAGATCTCCATAATTCTTTCTTCATTACACAGAAAAGTGGAGGTGGTGGTGCCTCCAGCAACTGAGGAGTCCGAAAGCTTTTGAAATCAGTCTCATGTTACAAAATGAAGCAAGAGAAGCATTTGCCTTTGATCCCGCCTTTTCTTTGTATATTTTGAGCCAGGTTTAGTTGCTTGACTTCTTCCCTCCCTTTATTGTGAACAAACTCCCAATGCCTGCCCTAAGTAAGAGCCTAAATGTCAGAGAAAAGGACAGCAAAGGGCCCTGCCACACAGCCATATAACCCAGAATATCAATAATAATAATAGTAATAATAATAACAACAACTGGAAAAGGTTACATGATATGAGGATTTAAAGATAAAACTGCAAAGACTCTGACACAAGCCATTTAAAGGAGCACAGCCTCCAGAATGCACCTGTGAATGTATTGCCTGTCTTTGTTAATTGTATAATGGCACTGAATGCTTGTCACATATGTATTCTGTACTCCTCTTTGAGTCCCCTCAGGGAGATAGAGAGGAATATAAATAATAATAGACTCTGGCACAAGCCAGTAAAGTTGGTCCCAGTCATTATCGCCACACTGGGTGCAGTGCCTAAAGACCTTGGCCTATACCTAAAAACAATCGGCGCTGACAAAATTACCATCTGTCAGCCGCAAAAGGCCACCTTACTCAGATCTGCACTCATTATTTGCCAATAGATTACACAGTCCTAGACACTTGGGAAGAGTCCGACATGTGATCAAATACAAAAGCCAGCATAGTGATCTTACTACTCTTGTTATGTATACAATAATGATAAAACTTGATTTATAGACCGCCCTATCTTCCAGAGGGGTCTAAGGGAGGTTTCCAACACATATGGCAAGCATTCAATGCCAACAAAGAAACATATCAACAAATTACATCAAAACGAGATATAGCAAACAATATAAAACAGCCTAACTATAAACTTAATACTTAATAATATACCAAGAAAATCAAACTAACAACCCTAGCAGACATAATCACATCATATAAATTTACACAAAATAAAACACTTAAAACAAGGCCGATGATCCACAATATCTGCTTTGAACTGGGTTATCTGAGTCCACACTGCCAGATAACCCAGTTCAATGTGAATTTTATATACAGCAGTGTGGAAAAGACCAAAGAAAAAAAACAATCAGAAGAAAAACTTTCCATATAGCTTCCTTTCTCCAGCTGCTGCAAACATAAACATTCAGAACCGCATACATACAAAACAAAGTACATACAACAATTCAGAACATAGAGGTGCTAGGTAAAAGGTAAAGGTTGTCCCCAGGCCAGTAGCCAGGATTTCAATGGGGGGGGGGGCTGAGTTTGTTTCGAGGGGGGGCTGAGTCTGAGTGAAAGAGGGTGTACCCTAGCAAACCTTTTGTATCGTTACCCCAATACCCCCATGCATATGGGATATATTGAGTATGGTGATCAGATCATGATATGAATAAACATAACAGTTTAATAATGCACCAGTAAGGCCTTTTCGCGAACCACCATGAGAATTTCGGGGGGGGGGGGGCTGAAGTCCCTCAAGCCCCCCCCCCCCCCTGTAAAGTAAAGGTTTCCCCTTGACATTAAGTCCAGTCATGTCTGATTCTGGGGTTGGTGCTCATCTCCATTTCTAAGCTGAAGAGCCAGCGTTGTTCATAGACACCTCCAAGCTTATGTTGCCGGCATGACTGTATGGAGTGCCATTACGTTTGTAGTAATTTTCCTTTCGTAGTACTTTGAAAGAAAATTCCCAATATCTCATTGGGGGGCATCTAGACTACAGAATGAATGCAGTTTGGCACCACTTTAACTGCCGCGCGACTCCTTGCAATGCAATACTGGGGGTTGTAGATTTGCAAGATTTTTTTTATCAGTCTTGCAACAAAAGTGCTGGTCCCTCACCCAACTACATCTCCCAGGACTCAGTGGGGAGTTAAAGTAATGCCAGGTTGCATCCATTCTACAGTTCAGATGCATAAACTGGATTATCAGTCTGCTAAGAGATGTTGTAGCGCAGGCCTGGGCCAACTTGGGCCCTCTCTGCAGGTGCTTTGGACTACAACTCCCACCATTCCTAACAGCCTCAGGCTCTTTGCTTTTTCCCTGAGGGGAAAAAAAAGCAAAGAGCCTGAGGCTGTTAGGAATGGTGGGAGTTGTAGTTCAAAGCACTTGCAGAGAGGGCCCAAGTTGGCCCAGGCCTGTGGTAGCATCTTTAAGACTGAGGATGCAGCCACAAGGCAGAATTATTGCAGTTTGACACCACTTTAAACTGCCATGGCTCAGTCCTATAGAATCCTGGGATTTGTAGTTTTGCCAGCTATTTAGCCTTCTCTATTGGGCCACTCTAAGTCCACTACAAATCCCATCCTTCAATTGCAGTTTTTATCCTGCTATTCGATGCATTTGACAGAGAAACCTGGTGCCTCACTAAACTACAGATTCCACAGCACTGAGCCATGTCAGTTTAAAGCGGTGTGGAACTGCAGTAATGTCACAGTGCAGCTGCCCTCTTCCTCCTTCGCCCAGACTACTCACCTCAGAAGAGAGGAGCGACTAGGCCTCACCCCTTGGCCTTTGGAGCCCTTCTAGGTGGAGAGCCAAGGAATGGCTGCCTGCCTCTCCTCTTCCCCGACTTGAAGTGCTGCCTCTCGTCCCGTGCGGGGAGAAGGCAAAATCCCGCGATATTTCAAAGCCTGGCGAGAAAACAGCGCGAGGGATTTATTTATTTATCTATCGTGTCAGGAGCAGCACTGATTGGCCGTCGCCATGGTGACAGACCCCCTTTCTATCCATAGAAAGGGGGGTCTGTCACCATGGCGACAGCCAATCAGTGCCTTCCTTGCGGCCCCGCCCCCTTCTCAGTAACTGAAATAAATAGGCCTGGTTTCAGTTTGAGTGAGGAAGGTTCTTATGAGAGTGGGCTATATAATTTGGACCAGGAACCAATTAATCCATTTTAATTAAAGGTGTGGTTTGCAAGGATTAGTTTAAGCAAGAGTACCCCATTTTCAGATGAACTTTGTGAATGTTATCACTTGAGATTTACAGATTGGGCTTAATTAGCACTTAATTAGCACCTGCCTATTACAGGGAAAACCAGCTGATCCCCAACCCATCTAAAACACAGACATGTGCCTTTCATCTCAAGAACTGACAAGCATCCCGAGCTCTGAGGATCACCTGGGAAGGAAGCCCACTGGAGCATTGCAGCGCACCCAAATACCTGGGAGTCACTCGACTGTGCTCTTACCTACAAGAAGCACTGCCTGAACATCAAGCAAAAAGTGGGTGCTAGAAACAATATCATACGAAAGCTGACTGGCACAACTTGGGGATCACAACCAGACATAGTGAAGACGTCTGCCTTTGCTCTATGCTACTCTGCTGCTGAGTATGCATGCCCAGTGTGGAAGACATATCACCATGCTAAAACAGTGGATGTGGCTCTTAATGAGACATGCCGCATTATCACAGGGTGTCTGCGCCCTACACCACTGGAGAATTACACTGCTTAGCCGGTATTGCACCACCTGACATCCGCCGGGAAGTAGCAGCCAATAGTGAAAGGACCAAGGCAGAGACATCTCCAGCTCATCCCCTGTTTGGGTATCAGCCAGCACGTCAACGACTTAAATCTAGAAATAGTTTTCTAAGATCTACAGAGACACTCGCTGGAACACCTCATCAAGCGAGAGTCCAAAAGAGGCAGGCTCAAACCCAGAACCTCAACCAATGGCTGATACCAAATGAGAGACTCCCCCCTGGGCACACAGAGAAGACTGGGCGACTTGGAAGGCGCTGAACAGACTGCGCTCTGGCACCACGAGATGCAGAGCCAACCTTCAGAAATGGGGCTACAAAGTGGAATCCTCGACATGCGAGTGTGGAGAAGAGCAAACCACTGACCACCTGCTGCAATGCAACCTGAGCCCTGCCACATGCACCATGGAGGACCTTCTTGCAGCAACACCAGAAGCACTCCAAGTGGCCAGATACTGGTCAAAGGACATTTAATCAACTACCAAACTCACAATTTTGTATTTTGTCTGTTTGTTTGCTTTGTTCTGTTAGAAATGTAATATAATTGACTGGTTGCCCTGACACGATAAATAAATAAGCAGCTGAAGGCTTGGGCCCTTTCCACACAGCTGTATAAAAACCGCATTGAACTGAATTATATGGACTCAGGACCCTTCCAGACAGCCCTATATCCCAGAATATCAAGGCAGAAAATCTCACAATATCTGCTTTGAACTGGGTTATCTGAGTCCACACTCTGATCATGTGGGCTTTTCTGCTTTGATATACTGGGATATAGGGCTGCATGGAAGGACCCATAGAATATCAAAGCAGAAAATACCACAATATCTGCTGTGAACTGGGTTATCTGAGGTCTCTTTCACACAGCTGTATAAAATCCACATCGAACTGGATTATATGGCAGTGTGGACTCAGATAACCCAGTTCAAAGCCGAACCTCATCATCGCCCTCCACCAGACCGGACCCAGGAAGGCCTCCAGACTTGAGCATCTAAGGGTTTGCGTCTCCACAAATGCTCCTGGATACCAAAGGCCCACTGCATAGTGTAAAATAATGTAAGAGAACTGAAAACTGGGAAGCCCTGTCCCTTGAGCGCTCCAGCTGGAGGTCAGCTGTGACCAGCAGTGCTGCAGAATTTGAAGAGGCACGAATGGAGGGTGAAAGAAAGAAACGTGCCAGGAGGAAGGCTCATCAAGCCAACCCCGACTGAGACCGCCTTCCACCTGGAACCAATGCCCTCACTGTGGAAGAATATGCAGGTCAAGAATAGGGCTCCACAGCCACCTACGGATCCACAAGAATACTGATCATGGAAGACTATCCTACTCGTCCAACGAGGGATCGCCTAAGTAAGTAAGTAATGTAAGAGATTCTGCTTTATGCAACTTGAAAATGATCTAAATACACGTGAGGATTTGTAAATGAAAGCGTACTTCTGTTGGGACATTCCTATGTAGGTTCTACTCTCTATAGATGCATCCACACTGTCGAATGAAGGCAGTTTGTCATCACCTTGACTGCTATGGCTCAATGGTATGGAAGCCTGGGAGTTCTAGTTTTACAAGGTCTTTAGCCTTGTGTGCCAAAACCTGCTGCTGCCTTGTCAAGTTGCAACCCCCAAACTTCCATAACATTGAGCCATTGCAGCCAAAATGATGTCAAACCGCATTCATTCTATAGTGCAGGTAGTTGCACTCTATGAAAAGATTGGTGAACATCAGTTCCTTGTTGCATGTTGCAGCTATCATTTTGACTGTAAAACTAAAGCGTAGGTTCTCTCTGTTGCTTTACCAGTTCTACCACAGATTTACTACATAGCCTTAGGCAAGTCCCACAGCCTGAACATGGTGCCTTACGAAATGCAAGTAGTAGTGTTTGAACTTAATACTCTTACAAGCCTTCATTAGCTTCAGTAAAACACTTTGAGATTTAATGGAAAGAGGCACTTCACCTGATAATTACAAGCCAGAAGATAGATGTTGGCACTGAGGCAACAGGATTCCGTGCCAGATCCCTTCTCTCACCATTTCAGGATATCTTACAAATTTTAAGTCTTGTAGGGAATTTATTGAGGCCTGGTTTTGGCACTCCCATATAAAGAAGATGTAGCATTGCCATATAAAATCCAGATTATCTGCCTTGAACTGGATTATATGGCAGTGTAGACTCATATAATCCAGTTAAAAGCAGATAATCTGGATTATTGGGTTGTAGGTTTTTTGGGGCTATATGGCCATGTTCTAGAGGCATTCTCTCCTGACGTTTCGCCTGCATCTATGGCAAGCATCCTCAGAGGTAGTGAGGTCTGTTGGAACTAGGAAAAAGGGGTTTATAAATCTGTGGAATGACCAGGGTGGGGCAAAGGACTCTTGTCTGCTCAGCAGAGGGGAAGCAATCTGGGACATCTAATCACCTCTCAACAAAAGATTGCCCTAGGCACTGCCAGGCCATCAAATGCTAATCAAGGTGGTCAGTTGAAACATTCACACCTAGCTCCAGCAGACAAGAGTCTTTTGTCCCACCCTGGTCATTCCACAGATATATAAACCCTTTTTCCTAGTTCCAACAGACCTCACTACCTCTGAGAATGCTTGCCATAGATGGAGGTGAAACGTCAGGAGAGAATACCTCTAGAACATGGCCATGTAGCCCAAAAAAACCTACAACAACCCAGTGATTCCAGCCATGAAAGCCTTCGACAATACAATCTGGATTTTATTTGATAATCAGGATTACATGGCAGTGTGGAAGGGGCCTGAGAGCTGCAGTTTGACAACGTCTTTATCCTTCTCTGCATAAGAATGCTGGTGCCTCGCCAAACCATAACTCCCAGGATTCCATAGCATTTAGTCAAAGTGGTTAAAGTGGTATCAAACTGAATGAATTCTACAGTGTAGATATATCCATAGTTTCTTGCCTCACAGGAGTATGCAATCCCATCAACATGGAAAAGTGGGCTGAATAATTTATGTCTTTTTCATTCTGGCAGTGTAAATGAGACCTGAAAGTGTGTCCGGTGACCCTTACAAGCCTCAGTTCCAAGGTATTATTTAGGTGTTGCCTTTAATTTTTCTACATTAAATAAAAGTAAACCTTTAAAGGAACCAGTAGGTGGCACCAGTAAAACTAAGTGTTGCAGATCTGTGAATGTGAACATTTTTGTGCTTTAATTTCTCAGTCATACTCAAAATGTTGGAGTACTAAAGTCAGCAAACTTTCATTGAACGAATACTTTTTAAAATATAGAAAATAAACAAAAACATAGAAGAAATTAAACAAGAACTCAAAAAAATTGTCCCAAGATTAAGAGGGAGGGGAGGAGAGAAAATTTCCTCCACTTAAAATAGCTTTTTGAAGCCTGTATTTTAGCTGAAATTGTATATCCTCTGTCATTTGAGCATTGCCGAATTATTAATTCACATCTCTCCTTTTACATATATGCATAAATTGTGGGCGAACACAGCACCCACCACCCAAAAGATTAATATTTTCCAAGGTCAATAAGTCAATTTGAAATACAGAGGCACCCTTCTGTTTACATGAAGTCTCCCAAGCCCCACCATGGACCAGCAGCAGCTCATCCTCCTCAGGAAGTCCATCTTTCCCATTTTTATACCTTTTGTCCTAGTTCTTTAATCTGAACTGGTATGGCTCAGTCTGTATACGCAGGGAGCCCATCTTAAATGTGCACTGGCCAAGGTCGAGCGCGGATGGCATGGAACTGGGTCCAGCCAGCCAGCCAGCCAGCCTTAGTGCTCAACCAATCACCGGTATGGGAGGGAAAATCAAACTTAAGACAATGTGAATTCAGAGAAAGAAACCTTACTGTATGAAATGGTTATACACTATGTTGGTTATGCTTGTACTTTTGGGCACAAGCCTACTTACTCTTGGCCGGAGCATAATTATAAACCTCTGTCTCCTCGTCTTCAACCCTGATGAGTCTTTATTCTGGAACTCTGATTATTAGAATAAAAATGCTTGCCAGGCCAAACTCTCTTTTAATTGCAGTCTAAATTTTGCCTTCAGAATGCAGACAGAACATATTTAGTTTAAGTTTGCATCTACACTGTAGAATTAATGCACTTTGAGATCACTGTAACTGCCACGGCTCAATGCAATGGAATTGTG